TGCATATCTTTTATTCACAAGCCGAAGAGATCCAAGATGGCGACCTTATTGCAAAAATCTCGCGTAAACAAAATTAGTTATTTTTTAAGCCCTTCGCAGTCGATTGAAAACTGCTGTCGGTTCTTGCGGGGACAATCGCTCTGCAAAAATCTCAAGAGTAAACCAGGCGTCAATAAGAAAGAAAGTTAACTGTAAAATTTTAATTAAATATCAGTTTAGAAGTCATCCTCGCTATTTCTAATGCGCTCTGAAGCTAGGGTTGCAAACTTGTTCAGCACAGCTTCGATGGATCTCTCGCCGTGGACAATGTTGTCTCTTGTACGAACATTCACCGTATTCGACGTGGCTTCCTTTTCACCGACCACTGGAAAAAGAAAACAATAAATAAATAAATAAATAAACAAAAATTGGAATAAAAACGAAAATAAAAATGGCAATGATGATGAAAATAAAATGAGAATGAAAATAAAATGAAAGTGAAATGAAAATGAAATAAAAATGAAATGAGAACAAAAATGAAAATGAGAATGAAAAYGAGAAAATTAGAATAAAAACGAAAATAAAATGAGGATGAAAATGAGAGTAAAATGAGAATAAAAATGAAAATAAAATGAGAATGAAAAAAGTTAACAATGTTAAACCAAGGAGAATTATTAGTTTACCAAATATAAAGTTATACTGTGCAAGCTGAGCATTTCTAATTTTCTTGTTTAACGTGGTGCCATGATCAAGGTCCGCTTCACAAAGATATCCTCCTTCGGTGATTTGTTCCTTCACCTGAATAAACACCAATATTAAAACACGTATAAATGATGGGAATACACCTTTTCAGTTGCACTTAGGCCTCGATAGCAAGTTAATTATTCTTTTGAATTTGACAAATGAGACTATTCATATCAATGTTTGCATTGATCACATTCCTACAAATTCAAAAGAATATTTAACACGCTGTCGAGACCTAAGAGCAACTGAAAAGGTGTATTGAGATAAAGTCAAGAAAAAGGACCTCTAAAGCTTTTACGTCATGTACCGTATACGCAATGCATTGTAGGATATGTTTGGGACAGAACATGGGAGATTTCTATTGTTTTATCTAGAAACTGATCCCACAATGCATTGAAAATCAAGTAGTGACGTAAAAGGTTCAGAAGTCTACTTTTTGATGAAAAGTGACAGAGCACACTTATGTATTTGGGTGGGTAGATCTCTGAACCTTTTACGTCATATATCGTATATTACAAGCAATGCATTGTGTGATATGTGCAAAAAAACATGGCGGATTTCCCACAATGCATTGCAGTTCATTTCTACACATATTAAGAAGTGAAAAATAGATAATCAAACCATAATGACAAAACATGCGCTACCTTTTTGGCATACTCGTCATACTTAGCTCCAACAGGAATCACYAAGCTCTGTCGTGGAGACAACCAGAATGGCCTGGGGAAATGATACAAGGAGAATTCAGAATCTATAGTGTTAGCTACAACGGGGCATTATGTAATGCAATTCTTTAGTGATTCTCACCATTTTCCTCCRAAGTTTTCAGTCAAAATAGCAATCATTCGCTCTACAGATCCTAAGATAGCACGGTGAACTATCACTGGTCGCTTCTTCTCATCTCCTTCTCCACTAAAATGAAAACGGAATGTCATAGGGAATGAATGGGACGAGATTTTKAGTTAATGGGATTCGCTTAAGTGTGACGAACTAAGGTGGAATTACGTACAGTTTTATACAACTATGTTGTTGCAAATTTATTKTATATTATGTACTTCGTGTTGTTTGTTCAACTCGTGCACGTGTAGTTTGAAGTGAACTTTAATGCAGATGCCATCAACTCGCTCTGAACGTCAACTCGCATTTAACGTTACTAGCTATGAATGATAACTAGCTTTGAATAATAACTYGCTTCGAGTGATAACTCGCTATGAATGGTAACTCGCTATGAGCGGTAACTTGGTATGYATGATAACTTGCTGTAARCGYGTGAGAATGAAAGGTTMACAYAAAGCATTTCTGCTAAAATGAGACTTTGCTGTGAATWGTWGGTAGCTTTCTGTGYATGTTAAMTCGCTCTAAATGTAAACTATAACGCGCATCAAATGTTAACTCGCAAGATTTACGTTAATTTACTCACGTAACGTATGTCAGGTTAAATCTCTCGGGGAGTTGAAAGTCGAGTTGAATTGTGGCACATTGATGATAACGACGCAATGCATCTTGAATCTGGATATCAATCTAAAAGATAAGAATCGAGGTTTACAAGTATTATGGTAACGGGCGAGATCGCACTTTCAGGTCATGACAACCTTTCGTCCCTCAATAAACCAGCGAGGCTMACAGAGGTTGAACTGTACATGGTAATGGTGAGTGCTGATGATAGMATACCTTTGGTCCATAGAAGGCACCATCACCAGGGTTCAGAACCCAATCCTGGCCAAAATCGTTCAATGCTTTTTCTAATTCCTGGATGAAAACAAAAAAAGTTGTTCGAGTTCATGGTATTCTATAAAACATCCAGAGTTATGACTATGAATACTAAAGCAAAATAAAACGCATATTACATTGACTGCGAATGGGATCGNTTGAGGAAGTCCAGACAGCCTACAATTTCTTGGCCAATCTGGGGAAAAAATGGAGAGGTAAATAAATGAAAGGATACATGGATAAATATATATTGACAATTTGAATGAATCCTATGATTTTTGAAGTATTTTTTCACTGTTCTTCGTCAAAAGGGAAAAAAACAGCACAAAAACACTAAGATAACGTAGCAGTGTGGACGAGGTCTTACGTTTCCGTAGCTTTTTTGTTTTTTTTTCTCCGTTCTCAAGCAAGAAATGAAAAATATAAAAAATGWTACGAAAACGAGTCRGTGTGGAAGTTGTCTAACGTTTCCGTGGCGTTTCTGTATTGTTCTCCGTTCTCAAGGCAATGAAAAACAATAGCAAAAATGCTACAAAAACGTATCAGTGTAGACGAGGTCTAAAGTTTCCGTAGCGTTTCTGTATTTTTCTCCGTCCTCCAGGCAATGGAAAACAATACAAAAAATGTACGACAACGTATCAGTGTGGACGAGGTCTAACGTTTCCGTAGCGTAATAATCACCTGTTCAGAAGTGCAAAATATGTGAGCATCGTCCTGTTGGAATCGTCTAACTCGCGTCAATCCACTCAAAGTACCAGACAACTCGTTACGATGTAAAACACCAAAATCAGCCATTCTTAGAGGAAGCTCTCTCCATGATCGAGGTCGATGATCGAACATGACGCTGAAGATATGAAATTAAACGTATTAACCTTTAAATTCCAATATTGTGTGCAG